CGCCCAGCGGCACCAGGAATAAACAATTACCTGCAGGTGCAATTGGCCTTCAACCTTGAACAGCGTAGCACCGGCGACGAAGGGCCCACGAGCAAGCCTTCAACCTTGAACAGCATAGCACCAGCGACGAGAGACCCACGAGCTCCCATCACCAGAGGCCTTCGACGCGCCTCACGTGCCCACGAGGAGCAGACACCCAATCACAGTTCCCGCCAGCTCCCGTGGAGCCGCCAAGCGTGTGAGGCAGGGATAGCTGCTCAGGAGCACGACGCAAGGCAGATACGCCTGCTCCCTCAGGAGAGCACCAGGCATGTGAGACAAGCCTGCCTGTCACTAATTGGCCCTGCGCCAAGAACGCAAACCCCAGAAGCCCCCAGAGGCCAAGAGGAGAGGAGTGGATGATGACACGCTCCGTCGTCATATTTTCCTGCCCCCCCCCCCTCCCCCCCCCCCCCCCCCCCCCCCCCCCTCCCCCCCCCCCCCACCCCCCCCCCCCCCCAAATGGGGGCTAAGAAAAACATCATCGTAATCCTGTGTTGAGGTCATATCACGTGAGAATCGGTTGTCCATGCAGCTACTTGTGCGCACATTCTCTGTGTCTTCTGTTCCGGAGCTCTGGCCCAGCATGGCTTTGAGATTCATCGACAAAAGCCGTGCCGCTAAGTACTCGCATCCGCCAGCTGCCAGCGATGAGGTCGCGGAGGTCCGCGTCGAGGTGGAAGCGTCCCCTCTGGCGGCCGTCGTCCGCGGCGTCGCGGCGCAGGCAGAGCCAGGGCACCACGTCACGGGCCTGATCGCTGCGTTGACAGAATCGGGCTTCAAACACATGTCGGATCTGAGCGACATTGGAGCCGACGACTTCGCAGAGCTCGTGCCGGCATTCGCCGCTTGCAGCAGCAGCTTCGTCAAAGCCTTCTTGTCGCACTGCCAGAGCAGCGCCAGTCGCGAGCAGGCAGCTCAAGCGCACAAGCCTGGCGGGCGAACGGAGCCCCAGCGCCCGGCATCTCTGCAGCGGGCGTCGCTGCGCAGGCGGGCTCCGCCTCGGGCGGCGCAGGCGCTGGCTATGCTGGCGACCAGACGCCCACTGCGAAGCGATTGGACGCCCCCGCCGAAGAGAAGGCCCGCGCTGCTTTTCTAGTGCTTGGAGAGGCGCGGCGGGCGCGGGCCGCTCCTGCGCCTGCAGTACTTGCAGCCGCCGTGGCAGCTGCTGCCAATTGCAGCTGCTATCCGGGAGCGGAGCCCACTGGCAGGCCACGGGGCGAGATCAAGCGGGCTCGTCGCGAAGCCAGCGGCGGCGACCATCTGAGCTTGCACACCTTGTGGGTGGAATTTGCCAGCTGGAGGAAAAGCGCCGCCCAGTATGCTTCCGTAGTGCGCCTGTGGGGCGACGCTGCCACTGCTGTCGGGGCGCCTGGGTGGCCACCAACAGAACTGATCCTTGACACTTTCGTTGGTTTGTTTCGCAACGGCCACACCTTGCAGAGATACGTGTCGCACGTGCGCAGTGCATTGCACTTGGTGCAGGCTCCGCTGGGCGTCCTCGCAGATACGCATAGATTGTCGAGAGGCGCCGAAAAGATAACGAAGTATGAATTCAGAAGAGAGAAAATCCGTGCCACAGCTGAGGAGACCAGACGCATCCGTAAGTGGTGCGCGGAAGCCGGATATCCGACACTAGCGGCCTCGTGGGCGATTGCCCGCCAATTTTGCTTGAGATATTCTGAAGTACTAAATCTGGGGACCCACGCGGTCGCATTTCGTTTTACCGGCGAGGGCCGTAAAACGTGCATCATCCGTTTTGCTCACCGGAAGTCGCACAATGAACCCTGCGAGACGACGAGGCGTTGCATCTGCCACCAGCAGGGTCGGCTCCTGTGCGGTGCTTGCACGCTGTTCTCCTTAGGAGAAACAAGCGCTGTTCCTTTTTCAGGAATCCAATGCGCCGACGCTCTCGCTGTGCTAAAGCTGGCAGCGAACGCCCTGCATCTGCGTAGCGCGCCTGCTTGGGGCACGCATGCGTTCAGGAGAGGGTTCGCAAACGAAGCCCTCCAACAAGGAGGGCTGACAGCATTGTTCTTTAGCGGTGGATGGAAAGGCGTGGCTGCTTTCGGCTATGCTAGCGCCCAGAGCCGAGGGGCTCTCTCGGCCGCTGAATGGCTAGTAGAACATTCTGACTCCAGCGACGGCGAGCAGGACTGAGTTCGCATCGTTTGCATTGGGGCAAGGAAAAACGCATCACGATGTCCTCTCCTCAGGCGCTGCTGCGCGGTCCGCCGCTTCCTGGTGCATTGGGAACCTCAGGACAGGGTCCAGGAGGCTCCGGCCAGGCATCGCTTTCCTTTTGCCCCTTGCTGGCGCGAAGGCGCCGGCGCCGAGCCGTGACGGGGCCCTGGGGCCCGAGAACGTGTTCCGAGGTGCTTCGGGGCACCGCAGAGGCGAGGGCCTGCTTTCCCTTGGGCCAGGCTGCCAAAAATGATTTTCATGAAGCGTAAACTCGTTTCCGGCACAGGAAAATCATGTGGAGCAGGCCCAAGCGTGCTCGCCTCACCTCCTCTGCTTCCGCTCACGCGCCCCTGCGCCTGCCTCGCGGGCAAGCGGTTCCTGGCGGGCCGGCTTGCGTTTTCGGAGGCGGAAGTATTCTCGGTGCTAGTCTCTTGGGTCAGCCGTTCTGGTCGCCCCACAGGAGGCGCTCTCGGTCTCTGCGGGGAGCAGGGCCTAGCCAGGCCAAAGCACGAGCGACGGCCTGGTGCGCTGTGGCACTGCCCGCTCCCTCGCAGGCACGTGCCTGAGAGCTTGTCGGCAGGGGCCGCCTTCTCAGGCTCTCTGACCGAACGCTCTCCGCGTGGGACGGCGCCCGCAGGGCGGGCAGCAGCCGCCTGGCGGCGGTTTTGCCCACCCACATACCACCCTCGCGGCTTTCGCCGGCGCCACGTCCTGGCAGGGAACCTCAGGACAGGGTCCAGGAGGCTCCGGCCAGGCAGCGCTTTCCTTTTGCCCCTTGCTGGCGCGAAGGCGCCGGCGCCGAGCCGTGACGGGGCCCCGGGGCCCGAGAACGTGTTCCGAGGTGCTTCGGGGCACCGCAGAGGCGAGGGCCTGCTTTCCCTTGGGCCGGGCTGCCAAAAATGATTTTCCAGGTTTTAAATCAACCTCACAGGTGAGGTCAATGACCGCCGCTGGCAGCACCCAGCCGAAGACAGACCACCGCGGCCCAGGCTATGCCCAGACCAGGAGGCAGAAGAGAGATGCCGCCCGCACAGCAGCCGCACGCTCCCGAGCGCCCAAGCAAGCCCGAGAAGGGAGGCCGTCGTGCCGACCCGCACCCAGCTAATTAAAGCGAGCTGGCGCACACCTGCAGGCGCGCCAGTTTCAACACGATGTTTTGGAAAAACACATGTCCACCCGATGGTCCAACGCCTGGAGCAGCGCGCGGAGGGCTCGTCGTCGTCGCCGCCGTCGTCGTCGCCGTCGCCGCCGCCGCCGCCGTCGCAACACGCGATGCTTCAAACGAGTCGGCTCAACTTTGGAAAATCACTCAAAATGCAAGAACCCTGGGTTCTTATATTCTAAGCGAACATCTAGGTTCTCAACGCAAGAACCTTGGGACCTCAGGGTATCGGCAGAGAACAGATCGTCCACGAACCGGGGATATGCCACAAACAGATCTCGCGCAAGCAACGCCTGGAAAAACGGACCAAGCCTATGCCAGCTGTGAACAGAAGCGCTCGACCCAAAAGGGCAGCAAATCAACTGCAGACCTTTGGCCTGCTCGGCTGCAGCGCGCCAGGAAATGACAGCGAAAGGCAGGTGTTCCGCCCGCAGCGGCAGGGATTTGAAGGCACCTTTAAAATCCTCCTTCCGGAAGCACACAGCGCAGTCGCGCGGCGCATCGCCAGCAACAGACCGCGCAACAGCGAGCAGAGTGTCCAAAGTGTCGACCGGCATGGGTTCCCCAATTGCCGTTGCTGAATTGACGAGAGACCCTGAGAAATCATCAATCAAGCGGACCTTGGGGATGAACTCGCCGCCTGCTTCCTTCCACCCTTCCAGGGCAGGCAATCGGGCAGAGATCACGAAGGCGGCGGGACGCAGCTCTGCCCACCATGCCTTCTTTTCGGCTACCTCTTGCACGCATTTCGCCACAAATGCGTCCCAGACTGCAGGCTGCGCGGCCGACGGTCGGCGCACTCGCTCTAAAGTGTTGGCGTTGTTCTCCAAACAACGCTCGGCAAGATATTCTGCAGTTTCTGACACTGCAGGGTACGCGACAGGCGGCAAAATGCCGCTCCGAGGCAACTGGCCAAGCAAAGGAAAGCCTCGTTTGAGATCTTCCACCAGGCGGCAGTCTGGCCAGCCAATTGCCTCAATCATTTCCGCAAGAAGAATGAGATTCTTCTCAGGCCCGAGGACAAGCTGACAATGCTCGGGCAAAAGCGCAAACGCACATCTCCAGGCTGAATCTGTTTCGCGCTTTCGCGCGGCCCAGTGCTGGAGCCTCGCCGCGCGGTGCGCGTGAAGCTCGGAATCTGACAGGGATTCCGCCCCCCTCAGTGCCTCAGCTATTACTGCTGGCACTGGCGGGAGCCCTTCGTGTGCAGGCAGAGAAAGAGCCCATTCCAGGTGACTCCAAGGGTCCATGGAGCCCAGCAAAACAGGATTGGCTAGCAAGGAGTCCACGGCTTCGCTCAAGGCAGCAAACCCGCCGAGCGAATGCTCCAGGGACTCCCGGTCCTTTAAAACACTTGTAGGGGTACTATCAGCATCACTGGCGGACGCCTCTTCGGACGCCTGGCTTCACCGGCTCGACCAGCTCTTGCCATGCTGCCAGCTCTGGCCTTTGCTCCACTGACTTTCTTTTTTGTTGCGGTCTGCCTGGGCGCGGCTGCGTGATCTGCGCCGCCGGACTGGCGACACAGGTGCAGGGCGCGCCCCCTTGGGCCCACCAGCACACTTGCCACTACCCTTGCCAGAGCTGCCCTTTGCCTGCGCCGGCTGCGCTGGACCTTTGCCTGCGGCTTCCCCGCGCGGCCGATCGCCGTCTGGGCCTTGTCCCGAGCGTCCCGCACGATCTCACGGTCCAACCTCTGGAAAAAGTGGGCAAATTGCTCGCCCCTCTCCAAGGAACGTGCCATCTCACGCCGCACCAGCCAATCGTAGAAATAGGCGGTGTGCACGCCCCCGAACTCCTCGGCAACCCGAGTAAGCAGGAACACGTAACCCAGCACCTCGGACACAGAACAAACCTTCATGATGCAGATCTTGAGCCCCCACGCCATGACGTGGCCCAGGAACGTCGCGAAGCCAACGTAGCGCACCCGATCCTCGAGCGTCCGGGCGCGGCGCGCATCTCAAGAGACGCGCGCATCCGATCCTCCCGGGCGCCTCCTGCAGCGACGACGTCGATCTCTGGGGTGCGGCTCCACTGAGGTCGGTGGGCTGCTTGGAGGTTGTCGCCATCAGCGCTGCCCACGAAGTGCCTGTCCCGGTCGGAAGCGGCGCGGCCGGCCGCCTCCCACTTGCCCGCGAGCTCTTCTGACGGCAAAGCCTCCGGGGGAAACTCGTGGAGCCCGACCTCACGGATCCTGTCTGTCAGGCTGAAGGACAGGCCCTTCTTCGGCTGCGAGCCAGCTTGCTTGACAAAGTCGCGCATCACCTCTGCGAAGGCATCGCTAGTCGTCGCAGCAGGGGCCACGTCACTGCTGCTTGGTCCTGCGCCGCTGCTGCCAGCGGTGCCTGCCTGGGCCACGCACTTGCCCTGGACGCGCAAAGCGTACACGATCTGCGCCGGAGAGAATTTCAGAAGCTTCCAAGCCTCCGGGAAATCCTCAGCGCCGAAGGGGAAGTCGTTGGGCTTAATGCCCTGCGTGATCATGCCGCGGATCACCACGTCACTGTAATCACTCGGGTGGGTGCTGCCCACGAGGTTGGCGAGAGCTGCGGCTACACTGGTGTAGAAACGCAAGTCGTGTTTGGCACGTGGAGCTTCGTCGACGCTCAGTGCGATACGCACCCAGTTCAGCCTGTCTGCGGCGGGCGCCCCGGAGAACGCTGCGGCAGGCAAACCCTCGAGATCAGCCTTGATCTCAACGTCTGTGAACGAAACCTGCGCCATGGTGTTGCGGACAACGAAGCAGGAATCTGCAGATTGGTTAGCTGGTGAGCAACAAAGACTGACTCGAACCGTGGAGGCTACGGACAGCACAGTAGCCACACAAAACCGCCGCGAGAAACGGGCAGACCCAGCAAAATCTGCGACGAGGAGCAGCAAACCAGTGCGGGCAGAAACACCTGCACCAAGTTGCACCCAAAGGCGCGGGCGAAGCCGCGGCAGCTGGAAACGCCCAGCGTCAACCAACGTTGACGGTCGTTGAGTTTGGTTACCGGCGCGCCAGGAGAACCTGGAATTCGCAACTGTACCCCCTCAGCTTTGGCTTGGCCGACTAGAACCGCCCAGCGTTAGCAGTGGCACGCCATCATAACCCAACGTTAGCAGTCTTTGGTGACCGGGGCGTCGAGCGTCAGCAGGGGCACCAGCGAAACCCAGCGCCAGCAAGGGTTTGGTACCTGGGGCCGCTCACGCTAGGCCAGGGCGCACCAGAGGAACCCAGCGTTCGGCCTGAGCAGCCGAGCGCGAGCAATGGCGCGCCAGCCGAACCCAGCGTTACCAACTGGGAGGACTGAAACCGTCCAGCGTTAGCCAGAGCACACCTGCCTTACCCAGCGTTAGCAAAGGCCTTTGCAAACTCGAGCCGCCCAGCGTTAGCTAGGGCGCACCAGCGTTGGCAGCACGGAGCCGCCCAGGGTCAGCAAGGGCGCACCAGCGAAACCCAGCGTCAGCAAGGGCACGGTGACTGAGCCGCCCAGCATGAGCTGGGGAACCCAGAGCTAGCAAGGGTATTTGGCGCCTGGAAGCGTTAGCAAGAGCGCTCCAGGAGAGCCCAGCGTTTGCGAGAGTTTTGGGCGCCGGAAACCGCCAGCGTTAGCAAGGGCGCACCAGCGCACCACAGCGTTAGCAAGGGTTTGTTGTGACTGGAGCAGCCCAGCGTTAGCAAGGGCGCCCCAGCGGAACCCAGCGTTAGCCAGGGTTTTTGCAAGAGAAGCCGCCCAGCGTTAGCAAGGACGCACCAGCGGAACCCAGCGTTAGCAAGGGTTTGTGGTGACTGGAGCCGCCCAGCGTTAGCAAGGGCGCCCCAGCGGAACCCAGCGTTAGCAAGGGTTTTTGGCTCCTGGAGCCGCCCAGCGTTAGCAAGGGCGCACCAGCGGAACCCAGCGTTAGCAAGGGTTTGCCGTGAATGGAGTCGCGCAGCGTTGGTAAGGGCGCACCAGCTGGCAGCGGAGCCGCTCGGCGCCACGAAATGCACTGGCGAAACCCAGCCAAGGGCGCACCTGGAACTACCAGCTGCACGCTTGCGAGAGCACCCGTGCACGAACGCTAAATACCGAGGAGCGCCAGCACCAATGCCCAACGGCCCGCAGGCGAGAGCACGCAACGTGACGCGGCGCTGAAGGCGAGGTGCTGCAAAGGGAAAAACCAGAAGACCCTCCCGCCTCCTATCCCCGTCTGCGACCTGAGTGCACCACCCAGGCCTGCAGACGACGTCATAGGAGCACGGACGTACAGACAGGGGCGTGGGCCTTGACCCGAGAGCAGCCTGCACCGCGGCAGCGGCAGCCCCACGAGAAGCGATGCGCACGCGCACCCCCTGACCCCGCAGGCCCTGCTGCGTCCGCGTGCTGACGCAGGGTCCACAAGGCCCCTGGTGCGCGCGACGACCAACGACAGACGGACACGGACGGACGGACACGGACAGACGAGCAGAGAGGGAAACCGCACCCTGAACGGGCCAGGCGTGAGCAAGAATTTCCAGCTACCGGCCATGAGCCAGACGCACGAAGCTAGGAGGCCAGGCGGCCAAAAGGCCAAGAGTGGACAATAATCCTACTCCTCACATTTCACTGCCCCCCAAACCACTCGTGCCTCGTGATTTAGGGGCGACTACTCCTGCGCCTTCTGCTTGGCGATTTCGAAACTCTCGAGCATCTTTTTTTCGAAGCGTTGGACACCGTCGCGGACGTACTCCAGAATGTCCCAGGGCGGCAGGTTGTAGACGAGCGCGCGGTGGGCCACGCGAACGCGACTGAGCATGACGTACAGGTGCAGCCACCAGTCATCGGCGCCCATGTTCATGGGCTTCTGGAGCACCATGGTGGCCGCATCCATGCCCATGCCCTGCGCAGTCTGCACGGTAAGAACTTTCTCTGGCAGCAACGGGATCTGGCACCTCGTAATCTTCACCTTCCGAAGCTTTCGCTCGCCCTCGTCTTCGTAGTGATGGTTCCACTCCCAGGACGCCCTGTGCGGCGCGATCTGCACAACCCCTTTTCCGAACCCAAAATCCTTCTCGAGGCCATCAAACCTGACGAGGACACCGCGCGGCAAACATTTGCATCGATAGTAACCGATCCGGTGGGCGTTGTGAAGCTTCTTTTCGCGCCAATCCGCGTCTGGCGTCTCGAACTCTCGCGGGTGGAACCTCACGTCCACGACTTCCCCCACCGCGTCCTGGACGATCTGGTGCTTCGCCGACAACTTCACGTTCAACCGCACAAGCATGCCGATGCACAGCGGGCACATGCCGATGAGGTGACCAGTGTTGTTCACGTTCGGCACCTGAAGCATGGCCTTGTGATGCTCCGCGCCGAATGGCCTTGGAGGCAGGTCCACGGCCTGCACGTACAGCAGCATCTGCCCTCTATCCCTGGCCTCTCGCACGGCCCGATACTGCATCTGCCTGTGCACGGCCTCCCAGGCGATGCCCATCTCGAACCCGTCCTTGACATGGGGGCCCTGCAACCGCTTGTCGTTCTTACCAGGTCGGACCACCCACTTTTGCACCATCCTTTTCTGCTCGGCCGTGAACTTTTTGCCCTGCCTCATGGTCTTCAAGAAGCCGGGCATGAAAGGGCAGGGCGCGTGCGGAGTAACGAGACGGTCCTTGAAGCGGTGCGTCTCGTACAGAAACATCGCGTGGGCGAGCCCGTCCAGGAACATGGACTGCCCATTGCGGACGTGAACCGGCGCCTCGCACGTGCCCAGTCGTCGGACGACCAGCTGCGAGGGGAGCTCAACGACGCGGCATGAAGTGCGAGATGGCGGAGGCCGAGGCGTCCAGGCAGATCGCGGCTGCGTGGGCTGAGTGCGACATGAAGGTCGAATCAGCTCAGCACGAGGAGCGGGAACACAAGCGAGGCGCAGATTCGGCCAGGGTAAATTTCTACGCAAACCAGGCTTTGCACAACACCGAGAAGGAATACTACGAGCACGAGATCGACGAGTTGCGCGCCGAGTCCCGCGAGCTGAGGGACGAGAAGGCGGCCTTGGCGAGGGCGGCCCAGGAGCTGATGGACATCCAAGCTCCAGGACCGCATGAGCATGAGTACGCCGAAGGCCATTGGGAGCAGCAGGACGACATGGATTTCGGCAGTCGGACTGGACCAGTCGATCCAGGACCTGCGGTCCCACCGGGACTTTCGAGGCAGTCGGCGGCAACGCCGGGTGCATCGTCCCAGGGCGCTGGCATCGCCGCGGCCATGATGGAGTTCATGCGCCAGATGGCCGACCCGCAGCGTGCTGGGGTCGAGGAGCAGAGCGCGCTGCTGAAGGGGCTTACGCGCGCCCAGGAGAGCTTGGCCGAGGCGCAGCGCGAATCCCAGTCGAAGCTGAAGCCAGCGAAGCCTTCGCTCACGGGCAAGGATGCGAGCACCTTGAAAGTCGAGCTTGAGAAGTTCCGCACCTACCAGACCGAAGCGCGCCAGAACAGCAAGGCGATCTGGTTCGAGGGCGCGAGGGCCATCGCTGAGGGCACCGCGAAGATCGAGCTCGAAGACATGATCGTTACCGAGATGGGTGGCGAGGAGGCTTTCCAGAAGCTGGTTCGTGTTCGGGACGATCCGCGATGGGACCTCTACTGGTCTCGCTACGAACGTAGGCTGAAGCGGGCCGTCCACCTCAACGACGAACACGAGTCCAACGAGGCGGTCCGGCGCTACAGCAGGTTGTCCTTGCCCAAGGACGCGAACCCGGAGGGCGTTGCCAAGTTCTTGAACGAGTACACGGGCGTCAGGACCGACATGCTGAAGTACGGCCTCCTGACCGATGACGCGGAGAGCCCGATGTTGATGAGGGAGATCGAAGAGTTCAAGACAAAGATCGAAGGCAGCGCTCTGTTGATCTACTTGATGGACCTCCCTACCTTCCCGAGGCGCATGGCCATCCGCGAGGACGAGGACAGCAGCATGACCATCCTGGGCCGGTGCCGCCAGTATGTCAGGGCACGAGCTCGAGTGGGGCTCCAGTCGTCCGAGACGAAGCCGGGGCAGCTGCTGAACACTTCGATCGAGCCGAACGCGAAGCGGTCGGCCGCGGCCAAGACTGAGGCCAAGAGGCAGGAGGAGGCGAAGGTGGCGAAGGCCAAGCAGATCATCGAGAGCCTGCAAGGTGCTTCGGCGGTATCGTCAGGTTTCCCGTCCCCGCCGACTCCGACGGCGCAGCAGCTGGACAGCCGGTGGAGGGCGGCCCGCGAGCCAGACAAGGGCAGGTCGAAGGCAGAGGCCGCGCCGCGGGCCGTCACGGGCGATTGCCCCCGTTGCAAGGGCACGCACCCCGAGTGCTCGGTCTGCCCGAATCAGAAAGCCAGCGAGGAGCAGGGCTGGGACGTCACCAAGGCGGTGAAGGACGCCATCCCATGCTGGTACAAGCATTTGAACAAGGGCCAGGCTTGCGGAGGCATGGGTCACCTCAGTCGCCACCACGCCCTTTGCTACACCGAGAAGGGCGCCAAGGAGGCGGAGGAGTACCTCAAGCAGAAGGCCGACAAGGGTGGTGGCAAAGGACGAGGTAGAGGTGGCGAGCAGGGCGGTGGTAAGGCGAAGTCCAAGGGAAGAGGCGGCAATGCCCGCTTGCTTACGTTCGAGGGCTCGCACGCCACTGACCAACAAGAGCGGACGGACCGTGCCGCGAGGCTCCTGGCGTCGTTGATGACGATGGAGACCGACAACGACATCGACAGCATCGGGGGCGAGGCCAAGTCCAAGAAGCTGTCTGATATGAAT